ATTTGTTTCGGTCTTGAGAATTGATGTGCTGATATCAAGACGAGTTGTGCGCAAATGAAGAAGCAACGTGTGCGTTTTAATTTGTGTAGGGCTGGGTTTGTAAGCTTGGTGTCGTGGGGGCCAAAGGCTCGATTCGTGCGCATACGGGGATCCTGCTTGCAGCAGTGGGACAGACCCCTTGCGGCTGTAAGAGTCATGGGACCAGGCGTGGTGATCGTGCCTGAAACAGCGCAATCAACACCTCCTCGCAATATTGCGCGACAGGGATAGAAGGCGGGACTCTGCGTGTGGCTCTGCGATACCTCTCTACGACTGCCATCGTTACTATTACAGCCGCTCGACTTACGGCACCAGGTGTTGGCTCAATTGAGGACGACTGTGCACCCGGCTGCCGTTGCTGTTTGTGTGGCCACTTGCCCCCAAGTTCGCGGAAGGGAAAACTTTCTCCTCTTGCCTGGGTGCACGCCGGGGATTGGCATGGTGCGTCCCATACAAGCGTGTGCATGTATGTGCGGGCAAGTTCTGGCAAGGCCATTTCTCTCAATGTTTTCTGCGGAGACCGAGTCTCGTTCGAACAAGCGTTTGCATTTCCATCACGATTTGTTTTGTTCAACATGTAACGGCGGAATGTGTTCGTTGCCGCTCTTGGTTGTTGACGGCGAGGCCTTACCACGTGTCTGACTCTCGTCCTGTACGGTACGCTCGTGGTGTTTTTTCGTCTTCATCGCACTTGATCATTTGCATAGCATTATTTCTTCTATGCTGTGTGGAAGATATGCACATTTCACCGCCTGTGCCCGTAGCCTCGCGGAATGCACGCCCGAGCTTGAACCGTTTCCAACATCACAAAGCTGACCCCATCTCTTGGGCGCTTATGCGCCGATGCTGCTGGGTTTTCCACTAATGGCTGCGGCGTTGTCGGGCGAAGGGATCACGAGCAAGGTGGACGTGACCTGCCTCAACTTTTTCCTAAGGGAGTTCAACGCGGTGAGTTGGCGAAGCGGTGGCTATTTCTTTTGGGCACTGCAACGGGGGGGGCGGGGGTACACGAGCATGAAGTGAGCATCAGAGTGCACATTGGAGATCGGGCTGGAAAGTGTCGTGCCTCGAGTGCCCCAGTAACTTATGACATGCTGAAGTTCCTTATGGAGCTACGGCAAGCGCCCAACCCACCTAGCCAGAGTCGCTCCTACTGGTACGGCACTGTGTGGCACAAGCGAAACGTGCGAATCATCAATCTTTCCGGCAGGGGGCGGCCGCACTCTTCAACGTGTGTCGGTTAGAAGCGCGGAGAGGCTGCTTTCGCAGTTGGTGTACCGAAGGTGGCACGTGGTTCAATTCCTTCATATTCGTTGACACATGCGCTTCCTTTTCGCCGGAATCACTCCACGTCCTCCCTCCTGCATTCCAAGGTCGAAGGAAGAGGATGTGGGAAAGGCCAATAGGCTTGGACGAATATCAAGGTCGTGAAACACGTGTTCATTAGATACCATTCGATGGTGGGGCTACACTCATGGACCCTGTGCATGCCTAATACGCGACTGCCACAAATTAGAACCGCCTGTGACCCTTCAGAGAGCGGCACGGACTTTCACGTACCCCCATCTATGTTCCGAGACACGTTCCCCAGAGGTTTCCCCCATTCCACCCACCCGCCCTCCTGTGGCCAGGCGAACGCACCAGCGAATGCTTCAGGAAGCTCGAGCTCTGTGACGCCGAGGACACGGCGATACTGAAGCGTAGCTTTGGATGATGCCTGATGACGGCGTGTTTCGACCTTGGACAGTGACCCCGTCTTGTGGATGGATATGCCGCAGGAGGAACGTTGAATGTTGCGACCCCCTTAGGGAAATCGATGGGCTCACCTTTTTTGGTGGCTAGGCTGTTACGGACCCTGCTATCATAGATGTCGATGTCGTTTGCGCTTTGCGTGGCGGCTGGATTCACTTTTGTGTGGTTGTCTTTAGGACGGCGAAAATACGTCAGGATCTGGTCGTCGTCGAAAGTACGCACGGTTGGTGCAGCAGCATGGGCGAAGGATTGTTGTGTTTTTTGGCGCAGGCGTTCGTTTGAAAAATTGAGGTTTTGAGCTTCATTTTGTTCCGTCTTTCCATCTGTACCGTGAGCGAGCCGTCATTGCTGGAAGGGTGACGGAGACTTGTTGAAGCGTCTCTGCCTGCTTCCTCTTCATGACCACGTGTATGCCTGATTTTGGCTTCCTCCCTTAAACTTCCACTTGATTAGCACTGTAGTCTAGTCTTGATCGTNATTCGTTTGAAAAATTGAGGTTTCGAGCTTCATTTTGTTCCGTCTTTCCATCTGTACCGTGAGCGAGCCGTCATTGCTGGAAGGGTGACGGAGACTTGTTGAAGCGTCTCTGCCTGCTTCCTCTTCATGACCACGTGTATGCCTGATTTTGGCTTCCTCCCTTAAACTTCCACTTGATTAGCACTGTAGTCTAGTCTTGATCGTTTTCTCACTGTTCGGTGTATCTCACCGCCAATCAAGTGTCCGTGTTTGGTCTCTACGTAGACCGGGGGGGGGCGGGGGAGCGGGCGTTACTCTTCGGTTACAACCCCTTTCCATGTCCCGCCTCCGTACGGCCGTGAGCGCGGGCTGTAGCCTGATCCCCTTCCAACATGATTTTGTTGTTTGGTGGACGTGTTCTGCCGTTGCAGCAGATGTCTCGATTCATTGCGATTGCAATGGTACATCAGAAGTAGGCTACGGCAACCGTACGGAGTACAAACCTTCGGTGGCTTTTCATGTGTTGCCAACCAAAGTGGCCATGCATTGGTTTGGCTCAGGGTCGGTACCTCGAGAACCAGGCGAATCTCTGGGGTCAGGCAGGTGCCGTGTTCTGCTTGGGTGTTTCGTGTTTCGTGCTCGCTGGGTTCTCTGTCTCCACCCACTCCCGGAGAAGAGAAGCACGGATGGATGCGGTCCACGACCGCTCTCCTGGTCTCCACCTACCTCGGTATCAATCATACATTGTTGGACACGCACCCTATGGCCGCTGTTCCCGCCGGTGCTGCCGATGAAAATAGCATTGAAGTATGTTCCTGGTACTCTCAACGTTCACTTGCAGCCCTGGTGGACTTTGCTCGCGAATAAAACGAGAGTCATGCACAGTCGGGGGATGTGGAGAAAGAACACAAAAAGGAAACTCCAGTGCAACCCCCGGATTTTGCTTCAAACACATACTGGCCGACGCACACTTTTTGCCCACGCATGTGGGACGAAAACAAACGACAATGGAGTTGTCTCTGGGAATCTTCTCTATCTTGTGTGTGTGCACTGCAGCGGCATGGTCGCAAGCAATAGTTGTGACATGGGCTAGTATGTGTCGTACGGCCCCGCCGCGGTTGTTCGCCCGGAAACGCGAGAGGTAGAACTGTCTTTGGTGTACAATAGACTTGCAAAACAACCGAGGAAGATGAGTCGTTTTGGCGCATTTTCTCCGACCATGAGGAGGAGGCGCAAGATAGGTTATTGAAACATCCACTGGAAAATTATGAAAGTGTCCTCGGCGTGCAAGCGTTCGTCCCCCCTGGAACCTAAAAGCGCGTAGGATACCATGTATGATCCCCCCATCTCCTCACACGGATAGTCACTCAGTCGTGGTGTTGTGATACCCCTGAAACAAGACAAGAATTGACATGAACGACTGTTGTCGGAACCTCGACTGTGTCAACCCGTCACTCCTCCACATGTGGAGCCCATGCGCCACGGACAACCGTGGCACAGCGCGAGAGGACCCTACGCCGAGCGTTCTTTGCACGTGGCGTCGGTCCAAAGCCGTTCATTTGAAAGTGCAAAGGAAAATATATTATTCTTTGCAAACGAAAGCACATACAACGCGGAGCACATCGGCATCCACACCCAACCAAACGTGCGCAGCAGCTAAAGCGTGGATGACAAAAGGGCACAATCGAGAATGTATCGCCTACGTTCACTCGAAAGAAGGATGGCTGGCAAGAGGCGAAGGAACGAACCTCAGGACCCCGGATGCAAGCCAGTCAACCGCCAAAGAAAAAAGCAGTTGTCGAAAACGCGCATTACCCCCGGCGTTGTTCGTTCGCACGGCAAAACGTTTGCAAATCGAGGATACGCAACCTAGACGACAGTGTACTCTGGTTGTGCCACAGAATCATGTGTTCAGTTTTCAATGCTAGCATCGTTAAGTTACAAGTCGCTTGTGACCTTGCCCGTCATGATGGCAGAGAGTGCGACAACATTGAAAAAAACGCCGGCTTTTTCTACCGTGGGTACTTGCGGATATTGAAACGAGCAAAGACTACATAGATAAGCGCCCTCCCAAGATACTGATCCCAGATGCGCTGGAACTCTCCCCCCCCCAACACACCAAGGGAACGGCACCATTCTTGTGAGTGAGTCAGCAGCATGACGGTGGTCAGCGACGCCACCTGACCGCACGACACCGGGGGGGAAACGAAGGAACCATGGAGGCGGCCGGCCGACAGCATGTACACTTATTATGCCATAAACCAAGCAAATACTTTCTCCACATTCTTCGACAAGCACACCGAATGACCCGTCGACTGCGTGCACTGGAAGCAGACAACCAAGACGTGTCATCACGTTCATAGGAACCCTTCCCAAGTCATGACGCGAAAACCGGATGAGGTGATTGAAGCTAACGAAACGAGGAAACTTCATTCGCAGGTTTCCGCTCAATAAACGGAAGGAAACTAAGGGCAGGGGGACTTGCGGCTAAGAATGAACACAAGCAATGTACGAAAATAGCTTAAAAAAAAATACACCTCATTTCTCTCATGCTGCTGGCACGTTTGAGCGGAAGCAGACCGGAACAAGGGCAATGTTGACCGTGCCAAGCTTGCGAATAAAATATACGGCAACTTCAAGCCTGGCCATCACTCCTAGGCTACCCACGTGACACGTCGAGGGAAACGCGCGAGCACACAAAACAAGCTCGTCTCTGAAACGAAAAAACAGACCAGGACAGAATAAAAGCACGAACAAGACGAGCCCGGACAGAAGATGCTCAAGGCAACTCTAACCGAAATGTTAGTTGCCACGTCAAAGTTCTGAAACACATCTCATCGACACACACAAGAATTTGGAGAGCACAGTTACTGAAAACCATCCCCGTGCAAAAACAGCGGTCAGAGCGGCGCGGGGGAAACCCTCTGTTGGCGGAAGCCATGTACGACGCAATAGAGCCTGTGCCGAAGGTGGACGAAGATTGTCAACCCCCTCATTCGCTTACCCTGGCGCTCCCGATTCTCCAGAGTTCGTGGGCAAACAGTTTAAAAACACGAACCGTTCCCTCGGCGGAAATTTATCAACAACACAAAGCAATAACTCTAGTCATTTCGACTGCCATCTACCTTCTCCCCAAGCACATGAGCTACCGCTTCCAAACGCCATTCGGTACTCACGAACCCACATTCGTGGGCGCGCATGGAACACGTGCCGTCCGGTCCACAATGTCCAAAGAGGAAAGTGCAAGGGGACAACACCCTGAGACCACAATCATCCAACCTTCGGCCTTCTTGCTTTGCTCAAGGTGCTGGTATTCAGTGGCCAGGGTCGCTTGTTCAACGCCTTCAGGACTACCAATGCACGCTGCAGCCCGGGAGCAGCCGTTGGACGCCCTTCTTGGTCCCTATTTGCACGACGACACAATTGAACGTACGAAGAATGTCGGTAGGTGTCAGTGGAGTGAATCACGTTCATTCATTCCTCAGCCTTCAGCCATCAGACAGATACGTACGAGGACTCACAGAACAAACTTCCAAGTAGGATTCTGGAGACAGGGTTGTCAGTCAGGCTCGCTATTGCTTCATCGTCAGATGTCCATGTAACCCAGTACAGTGCTCCTGAATAAACCCGCCACCAACAGGGTTACAACAGAGCCTGGTCCGGTGAGAACCCGGCGTGCTCCGTCCCGGCTTTGTAGGGATGCGAGGTCAATGGTCTAACGACTACGGCATGCACGACTATGAGTATATATGANTGCGAGGTCAATGGTCTAACGACTACGGCATGCACGACTATGAGTATATATGAGTACCAACAGGGTTACACCGGGTGATGTCTGACAAATACATCCGCGTAGACGGTAGGGTGGACATCTGCAGATGACGTCGTTTGCTACCTTGACTTGTGAAGA